TCCCGAGGATCGTCGATCACTCGATCACTCGATCACTCGATCGGAGGGCGATGGTTTACGTAAGAAACACGGCGCCAGGGTCGCTCCGGTGAAGTTTTGAAGGTTTGAACGCGAAAGCGGTCATCGGTCACGTTCGTCCGGCCCGCCGCGCGTGCTGTTCGTTTCCGGAGCGCGTCTGGCAGAAGAAAAGAAAAAAAGAAAAAAGACGCGTGCACGCGTCTGACATATGCATCTGAGTGTTTGAGTAGTGTTTGAGTACGTATTCGTCGGACTCGCTGTGCGCTGCCACAGCATTAATATTGCAGCTTACAAAACGTAACCGTATAATGCGGCCCGCTTACTGCGATTTTCATGTCGATAGACCGCTGAGAGAAAAGGGATCATGTGGAGCCGTAGAATTGAAATGTGGTGAATATTGTGAGGTTTGTATGCGCTCGCGCTCTAATGGAGCTCACCGTCCGCGACTTGCTCGTCCTCGGGTCCGCTCACAGGGAATATTCATCGAGGTGTGACTGTACACGGTGGCCAATGTACAGCTACTGCTCTGAATCTGCCGGCGCCGTCGATCCTTGGCAGTGCTATGGTACTGGCTCCAGCGACGTGTGCGCCTACGCCCGTGGTTATAGTGATAATATTGTAGATGATGACGACTACGACGACGACGACGCAAGTCACCGCCCGATGCACGCCTCTAGGCAGCTCACCCGCCGTACGAGAGATGCATTCAACTTGGGGTACACTTCTCTCGTTTGAAGATGCCTGGCTAGATTTAAAAATCAGCGAAGGATCGGTGCTGGGCTGGGCTGGCATACGTCCTGGGGCCACTCGCTATCATGTGCAAGATATCTTTCTCTGTCAGCCAGCGCTCTGAAACATCTCAGCAATCGCCGGTCACCCCGACAGGCTTGCGAGGCAGCTGCTTGAGCCCAGTAGTATTGACCGGCAAAGATATTGCGTTAACAAAATTGATTGTACTCGACTCGAAAACCAAGTTAATAATTCATAGGATGGTGTAGTCCCTCTTCCCTCTTAGAAGTTGTGGAGGTAATCGTTGCCGATCAAGCTTCCGCTATAATGCAACCTAGCACCCTCGATCGGAGTCATGTGGTTCATGTTCATAGTGCTGTCCTTCCAATCACTCCAAGTGACCACATTGCCCTGAGCTCTGCTAATCCAGTAGTCTCCGGAGTAGTCGTTGCTGCTGCCGATATCTAGTACAGCTCTGCAAAAACGCCACTGAGCGCGTATGTGTTAGCACAGGCGAAGGATCTCAGCTGAGAACTCAGATACGTACACTCCAGATCTCGCGGTCTTTGTCGTGCAGAACAAGGAATCGGTCTCCATAGTCGCCACCTCGACCCCACTGATAGCTATTATCCACGGTGAAGGTGTATCCGGTTTGATTGTTGTCGCGATTCGCCTGAACGAAGACTATGACATAGCCGTTTTGTGCTATTCGAAAGCTAAGATGTCAGCTATCGCTTGAGATTGCGTCAGTGATAAAGCACGGGGCTTACGCCTGGTTGTATTTTCCGTCACTAGCATGATGTACTCCTCGGATCGTCTGGAGCTGAACAGACCCGGGCTCCATTCGATGCGGACCGTGGCCCTGGTCATTTCCTCGGGCACCTTGAGAATGTCGCCTTTTTCTGCTGACATGATACGGCAGCTTCAAGTATTGGAGGTAAAACTTGGTAGGAGGAGAGTGAAATCGTTATGCCGCAGGTGATAACAAACTGAGATTGAGCTCAAGTAGTACCGGTAGGAGAGCGTCCAAGCTGATGACGAAAGTGGGGACCAGACCAGATCGTTTAAGTAGACGTTTTGTCGGGTTATATCAGCAATTCAGAAATGCACATCGGTCGGAAGCGATGGATGGCTTGCGAGTAGGAAGCTCGGAGCTAAATTGCTCCGGCGAAGGCTGGCGGTCATCGGTCACGATTGTCCGGCTGGCTCCCCCGCTTTGCATAGCCTAGCGCCGTTCTCATGGACTGTACATCCGTTCCTGGGGCGCGTTCGCAGAAAGAAAACATGCGTCCACACGTCCATATGCGTGACTTCCATGAGCGTACTCGGGCTCGCTGTGCGCCGTCATAGCATTAAGCGCTAAGTAACGTGATAAGCGCTAAATTTGGAAACAGGGTATGTTGGCCCGCTTACTATCAGGTGCGCGTGCCAACTCCGTGAGTACTTGTTCACAAGAAAGAGAGCCCCCGGGTGTTGAGTCTAGGGCTCGATCCCGCCACAGCCACCATGCACCAAGGCTAAGCCTTCGATCAGACTCAACACCAAATACAAGTCCGTTATGACCGTTGGATCTCAGCGCACACCCTCTACAGCTGTCCCATTCGAAGATGCCTGGGGAGGTTCGAAAATTGAGCAAAAGCGCTCGCCATTCCCCACTACCGATCGGCGTCTTGCCGGGTTTATGTGCGTCCTGAGGCCGCTATCGTACTTTGGCGTGCGCAAGATATCTTTCCCTCTGTTGGTCAGCGCTCTGAAACATTTCTACCGTTACTCTTACAGAGTTGAGCCAACTAGGTAATAATGCAATATCGACCGGCAAATATACTGCGGAGACGAAGTCAACAAAATTGATTGTATTCGACTCGGAAGCTAAGTCAACAAAGTATAGGATGGCGTAGTCCCTCTTCCCCTTAGAAGCTGTGGAGGTAATCGTTGCCGATCAGACTTCCGCCATAATGTAATCTAGCGCCCTCGATTGGAGTCATGTGGTTCATGTTCATGCTGCTGTCCTTCCAATCGCTCCACGTGACGACATGGCCCTGAGCTCTGCTAATCCAGTGGTCTCCGGAGTAGTTGTCGCTGATATCCAGGACAGCTCTGCAAAATCCCCACTAAGTGCGTATGTATTAGCACTGGCCAAGGATTTCAGCTGAGGAAATTCAGACACGTACTCCCGGGACCTCGCGGTCTTTATCGTGCAGGACAAGGAATCGGTCTCCATAATCGCCACCTCGACCCCACTGATAGCTATCATCCACGGTGAAAGTGCATGCAGTTTGTTTGATGTCGCGATCTGCCTGAACAAAAACTATGACATCGCCATTTCGTGCTTAGGAAAAGCTGAGATGTCAGCTGTCTCTCAAGCCTGCATTAGTGATAGAGCAAAAAAACTTACGCCCAGTCGTATTTTCCGTCACCAGCATGACGTACTCGTCGGATCGGCTGGCGGTGATCATACCCATGCAAAATTGGATACTCCATTCAACACGGAGCTTGACCCTGGTCATGTTCTCGGGCACCTTGAGAACGTCGCCTTTTTCTACTGACATGATGCGGTAGCGTCAAGTATTGGAGGTAAAGGTTGATAGGAGGAGAGTGAAAACTCGGTGCTGCAGTCGATAAAGCGTTGAGATTGAGCTCAATTAGTACCGGTAAGAGAGCACTCAAGTTGATGGCAGAAATTATGAAAACCCGGCACTTAAGTAGCAATTCTACTGAGTTCCAGGCCTGCCGTAGGCCCGAGGGCACGATTGTCGTTCAGAGGCGAAGATTTCTGTAAGAAACCCGGAATCACATTGCTCCGGTGAAAGCTCGCAGTCGTTGGTCACGAGCATGGCCATGCGTTTCTTCGTTTCCCTTATGCTAGCCGTAGTCGCCAAGCGCTGTTCTCACGAGCTGGGGGCGCATCCACGCGTCCGTGATTTTCATGAGTGTAGTCGTTGTGCACTGCCACAGCGCTAGGCAGTAAGCACCTCCGCGTTTAAAACTTGGTGTCCACGTTTCGATCTTGTACATACACCGCGCCCCGTGTCTTGGATTTGACGCGCGCAGACTTCAGAATGAGCATTTCTTGTCTGCCATCAAGCGTTGTTCGCCGCTGCCTTGACCAACTTGAGCTGGCCGCTTGAATCAATGAGGAACGTGAACTCGAGCGGAGGTGCCAGTCTAGTCACGGACAGCCTGAACTTTGAAAGTCGGGAATAAACACCCGCGCCCAGCAGCTGCTACCAAATGATCTGCGGATCAACCAACGTTCAGCATAGTTTCATGAGAGATTGTACGTGTAAATAGGCGTGATGGTCCGGCGTCGCGTCACACTCGCGTTGAGACATCTGTTGACTTGCACGTGGATTGGGCAGACAGGACCGTGAGTGGACAAGCTCGGAGTGTTGGGTGTCGAGAGCCCGAGGTGCTGGTAGCAGGCGCTGGGACGCTTGGCATTCGTGGCAGACGTTTGATATTCAGGCCCAGGGGCGGCACGTGAAGCGCTCGAGCTTCAACCTCGAACCTTATAGCAGTAATATCAACGCTGTGCGGGGAAGCGCTAGTACTAATAGCGTAGCGTCGACTGGGACGGGGGTAAATTGTAGGTAGAATCGACGTTCGTGTATCCGGCGGTTGAGTCGTGATCGAGTATTAGCGTTGGTGAATAGTATCACGCGCAAGGCTGTCTCGTGGACCGCCGGCCGTTGCTTGGGTGCTGAGTTGGGTGGGCCTCGGGGCCACGACTTCGATCGGTGCAACGTGAGTACTAGTGAGTGGGAGTGCGAAAAGTGCCAGCTTCAGCGTGTCGAGTACAAGTGCTACAGGTAGTAGTGACCTCCCCAGCCTTTGGTCAAAGCTGGTACTTAACAGCTGGTAAAGTATACGTATACGTAACCATAGTAGTTGCCACATAATTCAAGCTATAGCTTGGCGCCTATTAAATCGTCGCGTGCTTATCTGGCATATCAGTTGATCCTACAGCCAAGTTGCCCTGGGAATGCGCGATCCCAAGGGATGTGCCGATCCCAAGACATACACCGATCACGAGCGATGAAAAACGTTGTCCGTGTGCTGTATCCGAAACCTCGTGTACACGTGTTGCCATGCATTGTGCGCTGATTGTAGTGGTTGGGAAGATAAACTCGGAGGTTTAGTGTTTGTATTCTGATTGATGTCGGGATACGGCAATACACACGGCCCGGGTGCACAAAACCAGGGCCATTGCAGCGCAACCTAGCTATAATGGTCTATTTGCCCGACTTCAGCAAGACACGTTAGCCAAGTGGTTAAGGCGATTGATTCGAATTACTTCATTATCAATTGGGGTCTCCCCGCGTAGGTTCAAATCCTGCACGTGTCGTACCATTTTGCTGCGCAGCTATTTGTGGTTGGGTTTTGTGCGGTTTCTCTTGTCAGCCCGCGGTGTGGTACCTGTTTCTGTTATGTTGCGAAGTGCGAAAACGAGGAGGGGCTGTTATTGCGTATCATTGCACCGCTGACAGGTAAAAGATGGGAGGGCCTTGTTATACGTATACATGGACAGTTGCTAATACTCATGCGTAGCAAGTGCATAGATTCATGACAGGTGTAGTTTGGTAACTAGTCGTAGAACACGAGAGCGCGAAGCTCGATGGACTCTCTCAGAGGCGACCCCTCGGGCGTGGTGGGGTCCGCGAACGAGGTGTGCGGCGTGAGGACTGCGTAGTTGCTGTCCGAATCAAAGCTACCGTTTCCAAGCCGCAATTCAATGACTTATTGTCAGCAACTAACTTACCAAAGAACTCAACAAAGAGCAGCGCACCATTTGATCAAGACGATTTCGCTGGGTGACATCCCCTTCAAGTAGCCCCACTTGTGGTTGGGGTTATGCTTGACAGAGAACGTCTCGCCCTCGTAGTCGGGGTACTTGAGGGTGGTGCGAATGAGATCCTCCTCAGGGTTGATGGAGCGGAAGTCGCAGAGGGAGAGGGGGCGGTCCCAGGCCTCGTGCTTGATAGGACGCCAGAGGTTGATGATCTGGAAGCGCTTGCTGAGGAGGGTGGGCACGTCGGACTCTGGGAGGTGGCGCTTCACGCGGCTGGCGGCAGACTCGGGAGTTTGATCGACGTGGGCGATGGCCACCTGATTGTTTTATGGGGGTATGTTAGGACGGACTCGGGGCGGAGAGATGATAGGAGGGTATACGGACGGGCTGGCGTTTGTCTGGAGTGTTTTCATGGATATCGGGACGGTGGCGGCGGATAGCTGTAAACGGAAGATTAGACACGCGTTTGCTACGAGATGAATACACAAGTATACGCACTGTGATCGAAAATAACGACCCTGCTCGCGCCAGTAAGCTTCTTCAACAGCTCAATGCTCTCATCATAGTACTCCGTCTTGATCTTCTCTTCGTCGGCAAAGTCCTTCTCTTTGGACTCGTGCTTGGCAAACTGGAATCCCGTGATGTCGAGCGAGGCCTCGTGCTCGGCCCCGCGGAAGTTGCGGATGGCAAAATCGTGGTAATTGAGACTAAAGTTGCGCGAGCTACCGTCATCATCATCAAGGTTGGCGTTGATGTTCGTCCAGGGGCGGGAGCCGTCTGCGGGGGGAGTGAAGTAGCGGATAGGGGCAACGACAGTGGCCATTTTGTGAGGGTTTAATGAGGCTGGCTTGGAGGGTAGATTTGTAGGCAAGTGCGTTGGCGACACAGAGCTCGCAAGACGTAGATTTTATAGCTGGGCGCACCTCCACCCATCGGTAATCATGGTGCTGATAGGCACTTACGAGACTCGAGAATTACTAAGTAAGAGAGCACGCAATCGCGCCTGATGACGATATGCGAGCCCCGTTACAAAGCGCTCAGTCAGAATCGGCGACGATTATGCAGAAATCCAAGGCTAGCCCATCGTTTGGCGGTGCGATCTAGCTAGATCTGCTGAAACTGTTGGCCGTGCGCGTCACTTGCAAGCTCCCTGACCCGCGTCTGGGGATAGTATTCGATCGCAGGACCCAGGTGAACTTCAACTCAGGTCCCGAGCACTTTGCTTACATAAAGCGAGCGGGGTTTGATGGCGTATACATAAGTACTGTGGATTATTATGGCACGAAAAGGCTAATGGCTTTTGATTCTCTTCACCATCGTCCGACTCCGGCCATCTCTGAAAAAGCTCTGAACGTGTTTTTCACCATCCCGTGTAACCGTCCGTAACGAGTTACTCGGGTTAAGGTTGATGAAAATAACTACCTTTTTTCCCTCATAACCATCCCAGACGGTCACAACAAAACACGCGCCCTATGCGAGGTCTGGTTTCACTGTCAACAAGCGGTTTGGGTGGCGGCGCAAATGGTGAAGCAGTGAAAAAACCGTGATTTTCACGGTAATTTCTTCCTTCAGTGCATGAGTCTTTGCTGAAAGATATCCTGCTACTCGTGATCGTCTCGTCTCGTCTCGTCTCGGATCTCATCTGGATCAGTCTTCTCTGGAACAGGCTCAAGGACGTCGGCACGTGGAAGTGAAGGATCGACGGAAGGAGGTGGCACTCGAGCCTCTTCAGAACTCGCCTCGCGCTCCTGATTGCAATATCAGAAAGAATTGGTACCACCCGCTTGTCCTCATGAGCCCGAACTGGCACAGCGCAACGCAGGGTTGTTTCATGCCCGACTTTTGGCTTCCTTTGGTGTCAGCTACTTGTAAAGGAAGGCCTTGGGAACATGTTGCCAATTGGGTGTGCGCCTCCGGGCTCGCTCCTGTCCTTGCCTTATCTAGCCAGTCTTGCATTCGTACTTATGTAACCGATGCGTCTACATTCCGATACTTATACATTGTGCTGGTAAGTCGTACCCGTCTACTCATGTGAGGATGGCCAGGGCGAGCCTGCATTAGCAGATTGGAATTTAAACTGTACCCTGGATCGCTGTCGAGATTCGCATTACTTACACGCCACAGTCATGAGGGAAACGAGAAAGATGTACAGGACTAATGCAAGAAAGAACCACCGGGCCAACCGTGTTTAAATACCTATCGGTTTATCCCGTTGATCGCCGTCGGTCCACTCACTTTGCTAAGGAGCGGGCCCAGCTGTGGCTTAAAAATTGGATGGTGTGTTGGGGGCAAGGCATGCTGCGGTCGATCTCTCACTGCTCGGCAGCTCTCGCGGGCTTTCCACGCTTCCCGGACAGATGCCGAACGTGATATAAGCTGCGAAAGCATAATTATTACAACGTATACGCCAAGAAAAGGGGGGGGGACAAACCGCGTCTTCCTCAACACCATCCTGAATACTCTGGATGATCTTCTCTACTACCGACGCGTGGTTTCCATGCTCCTTCTCCTTATCTCTAAATCGTAAAAATCTCCAGTTCTGGCTGTTTGTGTCCCAGACTGCTTCTATGATACGGTCGTCATACTGTTCGCCCGACTCTTTCATCCTAGGTGTCGAAATAAGTACGGAGGTGAGATAACGCACTTAGGCTCCATAGTTTAGCTGCATACCGTTCCCACTCTGCATCGCGCACATGCATATAGTCAAAGTACTTGTATTCAGCTTCTTTGTTCCCACTTGATCCACCTTGCCAGACAAACAGGAGAAACATCGGTTTTGCGTAGAGGTCAGGCACCTCGGGGTGCTCGCGCGATGGCGGAAACCGGAGCTCGAGTTTAAAGTCGATGCTGTTCTGGGAGGGCGGCTTCCACTTTAATCTACGAATCGGTCAAGAGTCATGCGCACGCGAGGAGAATAGGACGCGATATACGTACAGCTGCTCATCCGTCCCAGCAACGTAGCCCGATTCAGCGCAGGTATATATCAATCCATCGTTGCTGTGGTGCAGCCTGGGAAGATCCTCTCGCAGTACCTTTTTAACTGCATAAGCGCGTTCCATTGCTTTTACTTGGATACTTGACCGAGTTTTAGGTAAAGACTCGAATAGATGTTCAAATGCTTCACATACTCAAACGGCCTCCGGATAGCCATGTCGGGGAATTCTTTTACCATCCGTTCGTAAGGCTTCCAGACCCACATTTGTAATTTCTGGATTTGAACCACATATACGCAGTCAAGAGTCTGCAGGCTGAAAGGTAGTGTGCACATACTCACACCATATCGCGAAGTCAAAGGCTTGAGAGTAAGATTCTGATTATCTACAACGATACAGTCAAACAGCAGGAGCCTTGGCGTTTCCTATGTTTGCAGCACCGGTGTTTGAGTAAAGGTGTTAATTACGTCAGGTATAAGATATGTACTCACACGACCAGTGTGGGGATCGACATCAGTGACAAGCTCTCCGTCTAATAGAGAATGCCCCATTGGACGCCGCGGATTTTCATGGTGTGGAAAAAATACACCCTCCACTTGCCGGTAGCTATTCTTCCTGTCAATCTGCATATTGGGAATGCGAAGTTGTATCTTGTGGCAATGTGGTAAATCCTTAGCAGGGCTCACGAGGTAAACTTCCTGGTCACCGGACGGAAATCCAACGACGAAAACAAGCACGCGAATTCCATCCGATTTCTCACATACCCAGTAGCTAAAATAGCGATTAGTGGTGGGGCATTTGAAACGAAGAGACGGTGTCGTACTCTTTCTGCTCCAGTTTGTCAAGGTCCGATCGCGCAAAGCTCACCGGCTGACTGCCAACAAAACTATCGCCCATAGCTGTAAGCTAGGCGAAAAGGCTTGTTATCGCGAGCGAGATGTACAAACCGGTGGTGAGCGAGTCCACATATCTGAGCCACAAGCGCCTTTAGCTGGGTGGCCTTCTCGGGGTGAACAGGGGAGCCGGGGAGATCAGGCACGTCAGACACGGGCATTGCAGACTTTTGTCGGCCAAATGTGCACTAGAGCATGAACTGGTGCTTGCTGAGGTTGGGCGTACTGGCCAGGCTCAAGGAGCCAAGCTAGTCAAGGCCAGTCAAGGTGGCGTAGCGCCGGCACGTTCAGCGTTCAACGTTGCAACTGCACCCGCATCAATTCCCACGCTCATGAGAGAACATACACTTATCAAAATGTTAGGAATTCCGGAACAATGGAACATAACCCAGCTGGATCTACTGATCCTTCTCGTCGGGCTTGGGTGGCGGGTCCTTGGCTGTCCGGGTTGTTGTGGCACCAAAAAGTCAATGGCTTGTGATTCTCCTCACCATCACCCAACACCCGAGCCCCGCAGGAACTTCAACGGCGTTAGAGGCGTCGGTCCGTGCTGAAGTTATTGCTGCCGCTCTTCTTCTATTTGTGATAGCCATTCCTCATTTTTCGGGCTTTTAGATCTTGTCGTGAGTAATCTTTTCTGAAACAGGGAGGGCGCCGACACGTGGAGAAGGGTCAACACATTGCACTCTTGAGAACTCCTTCACGTCTCGGGCTCCTGCTTGCAATATCA